AGAAGTGGCACAGGGAAAGATTCTGACGGATAGGGATGGGGCCTTTATGATAGTGTTTTGAATGGCCCGAGCGGAGCCGGGTATGCCAGCTAGTATGATCAGATGGAAAAGAATCAAATTGCAAAAAATAGTTCCAAATTCTAAAAAATGCAAAAAATACTTACCAGATAAACAATATCGTGCGGTGCAGTGATGTAAACGCTATTCTTTTCCAAGGACAAGATTATCGATGCTACCAGACAGGCTTTGGTTGCGAAGGTAGGTCGAAGAGCTTCATTGTGATTTGGAAGCCACACACCGCGCACAAGCTGAAAATTTGTTAAAAACTCTTGTAAAATAAAATAAGAAAGTCTTGTAAAAAAACTGCGCACCTGTTCTACTGTCTTCAAAATGCCAGATCCAGCTCCCTTTGCAGTTCCTACCAAGATCTGGACGATGTAGGAACTCGGGTAAAGCTTGGCTGCATGTGAAACTCCATGGGTAACCTGAGAGTCCAAATTAGCACTATAAGATCGAAAGGAACTCAAATCTTCATGCTTACCTTGTATGCCCTTTTGACCTCTTTCATCACCGACAGTACACATTTTACAGGTAAAACTTTCGAGAGTTTATATACACCATCAAAAGGTGCATAAAAGACTAAGTACCACACAATCGTAGCCTAAAAATTTTGGTAGAAATGATCATAAATAATTTGTTGCCTTATTAACTGACCAGAAGAATATCGTCGTGTCGTTTGAATGGTGCAATTACTGGTTCGCCGAGCAGGAAGTTGGCCAGGAAAGAATCGGCGAAGCACATCAACATCGAAGACAACCAGCAAGAGAGCGGATGCTTACGAGAGAACAGGCCAGCTGATGATGCCAAATCGTCGCGCACTTCACAAATCATCTTAAATCACAGAAAAAAATTTTTCTAGAAATTAACATATGCGGAAAACCGCGCAGGTACTAACCAAGATGTAATGAGCGATGTCGAAGTACGGAAACATCTTCAATCGATGTAGTTGAGCTCCTGCGTCAAGCAGGATTTCTTGGTCCATTTGTAACCCTTCGGGCCACATTCCCATTCTTTATCTGTAAATTCTAGATTCAGCTAATCATAGTCAACCTTTAAATTACAAAAATTTGAAAACTATTTCTATAGAGAAGCAGGAGCGGACAGATGGAGAACATTCTCATACAAAAAAACCACTTCAAAAACTTAAGACATGATCTAAACAAAGAAATTAATACCACCT